GGAGTTCAGACGTGTGCTCTTCCGATCCCCCCAAAACCCCAAAACCCCACAAAGAGAGAATAGTCGAATATAGCGGAAAGATATAATAAATTAATTCTAGAAACTTCGAAATTAAATGGCAACTCAGAAAGAACTAGGGACTAAAGCTTTCCAAGCTAAGGACTTTAACAAGGCTATTGAACACTTCACCAATGCTATTGATGAAGCAGCAGGCGACCACACTTTGTACTCTAACAGATCTGCCTGCTACTACAACCTCAACCAGTTTGACAAGGCTAAATAGGACGGTGAAAAGTGCATTGAAGTCAAGCCAGACTGGGGCAAAGGATATCAAAGAAGAGCTATGGCTCTTCACGCTATGGGTCAATATGATGATGCAGTCAAGGATTATGAGAAGTGCGATCAATTAGATCCTGCCAACGCTTAGAACAAGCAAGGCTTAGAGAAATGTATTGCTGATAAAAAGGAAAATGAAGAGGGAGAGAAAGGAATGTTCGGACCCTAAGCAATGATTAAATTGATGTCGAACCCAAGAATTGCAGGTTACTTCCAAGACCCTAAATTCAGAAACATGTTTGAATTCGTTAAGAGAGACCCATAAATGCTGATGCAAGTGATGCAGACAGACCCAAGATTTATGGATGTTTTCAAGGAGTTGACAGGCATTGACTTGATGGACATGCAGTCATAACAAATGAAGAAGAAAGATCAGGACGAAGACATGAAGAAGCACATGGAAGAGTAAAGAAAGAGGAAGGAAGAGGAAGAAGAGCAGAGAAGAAAGAAGGAAGCTGAAGAGGCACTCCCTTCTGAGGAGAAATAAAGACTTCTCTAGAAAAAGGCAGCTGATGGTAAGAAAAATGAAGGTAATGAATTCTACAAGAAAAAGCAATTCGATCAAGCCCTTGTTCTCTATCAAGAGGCACTGGATTTGGATGAGAACGAAGTTACCTACCACAACAACAAGGCAGCTTGCTACTTTGAAATGAAGCAATATGACAAGTGCATTGAAGAGTGCGATGTTGCCATCGAGAAGTCAAAGGGCAGCAACTATGACTACGTCAAACTCGGAAAGGCTATTGCCAGAAAAGCTAACGCCAAATTATAGCAAGAGTTATATGATGAAGCCATTGAGTTGTACAGAAACTCACTGCTTGAGAACAACGATCCAAACGTCAGAGAACAACTCAAGAAAGCTGAAAGACTCAAGAAAGTAGATGAGGAGAAGAAGTACCTAGACCCAGTCAAGGCTGAGGAGCACAGAGTTGCTGGTAACGCATTCTTTGAGAAGGGAGACTTCCCTAGTGCTGTTAAAGAATACACTGAGGGCTTGAGAAGAGATCCAAACAGCAAGAGTCTCTACTCTAACAGATGCGCAGCTTACATTAAGTTATTAGAGGGCAATTACAGTCTTAAGGATGCAGATAAATGCATTGAGCTAGATCCAACTTTTGTCAAAGGATGGGCTAGAAAGGGAGCTTCCCATCACTTGATGAAGGAGTACCACAAAGCCCTTGCTGCTTATGATCATGGTCTTAAGCTAGACCCTACCAGTAAGGACTGCCTTGATGGGAAATAAAAGACAATGATGACAATCTAAATGGGTGCTTATGGTGGAGACAAGCCAGATGAAGAGAGAGTTCGTCATGCTATGGCTGATCCTGAGATCTAAATGCTCCTCAGAGACCCCAGAATCTCTCAGGTATTAAAGGATATGCAGGAGAACCCAGCTTCGGCCCAAGGAGCAATGAGAGATCCATTCATTAGTGAAGCAATAAATAAACTGATAGCTGCTGGTATTATCAAACTAGGATGAGCAGTTTTATATCTACATACACATAATTCCTCAAGTTTAGTATTTTATTAATTTACATTTAGTAAATTCAATGCATCATTATTGATATTTTAAGGGGTTTTGGGGTTTTGGGG